ATGTTGCATCGTCTTCCAAGTCTTTCTCTTTTAGCTGCTCTGTTATTCTTTTCCGTCACCTGTAAAGGGAGCGCCTGTCTCTTTTTATTTTACATCTACTCCTCCTTTTTCTTAGAGGAATAAGCCTTGTGCATACATCGAGTGCCACCAAGTTAATCTGTTCTAGGCATAAGTTGGGGGTCTGTGTTGCTTAGTATATCTTTCCAGCTTATATCGGTTAGGACTTTGTTTACTTGGTCCCACTTTATGTTTTTGTTATTGAAGTTGAATTTGGTGAATGTTCCCTCGTGACTAATCTCATTATGTCGGTCTGGGGCTCCACGCATACATGTCTGAACCTCAATTATGTTGTGATCTGAGTATATTGTTTTTGATATGGTGACATTTCTTATCAGATCATCATTGTTAGTGAAGATAAGGTCTAGTGTATTCTCCAGTCTACTAGGCTCTATTATTTGCTAGGCTATTCCACTTCCTGACTACTCTATGACTGAAGAAATACTTCCTAACATCCCTTTGACTCATCTGGGTCTTCAACTTCCAATTGTGACCCCTTGTTTATGTGTCCCATCCCTGGAGCATGCTGTCTCTGTCCACCTTGTCTATTCCACGCAGTATTTTGTTTGTCGTTATCATGTCTCCCCTGAACCTCCTGTCCTCCAGTGTTATCAGGCCGATTTCCCTTAACCTTTCTTCGTAGGACATACCCATTAGCTCTGGAACTAACCTTGTCGCAAACCTTTGCACTCTTCATTGTGCATGCACTAAGGTAGCATGGATCAATCTTATGGGATATATAAATACCATTAAATTATTATCATTATTGTTCAAAACTGTTGTCTTTTGAGCAGGTGCCTGGGGTGCCCAATGACACCTGGAGTGCCCGGTGACACCTGGAGTTCCCGGTGACACCTGGGGTGCCTGATGACACCTGGGGTGCCCAGTGACACCTGGGGTGCCTGGTGACACTACGACAAGGTCCTAGATGCACTAGAAGACAAAAAGAATGCAGATGTAATATATACAGACTTTCCAAAAGCCTTCGACAAGTGTGACCATGGCGTAATAGCGCACAAAATGCGTGCTAAAGGAATAACAGAAAAAGTTGGAAGTGGAAACTTATTCGGTCCTAAAAAGGTTCCACAGGGCAGATACGTAGTACGAAGATCCCAATATGTCACAGATGGAACGGCAGGGTTGGGTGGCCCTTACACCCACCCAAAACACATACACCCAGATTGGCGAAGGTGGTTGGAAGGTACATTTTAATTAATATATTTACCCTTCGAGGAAGAGGTAGGTAGTTTATACTGTTAGTGAACTAACATTAGGACTATTGAGGCTGTTAAAAATTGACCACTGTCTGGAAAATCTTCCAGCTCCTGCACCCAACATCTTGCTCCTGGGGGATTTCAACTTAAGGCACCTAAAATGGAGGAATATAGCAAATAATATTGTTGCAGTAATAACACCAGGAGGCAGCTCTGATGAAAACTCACACTCACACGAGCCTTTAAATCTCTGCACAAAATTCAATTTAAACCAGCAAATAATAGAGCCTACTAGACTGGAGAATACACTAGACCTCATCTTCACTAACAATGATGATCTGATAAGAAATGTCACCATATCAAAAACAGTATACTCAGATCACAACATAATTGAGGTTCAGACATGTATGCGTGGAGCCCCAGACCGACATAATGAGACTAGTCACGAGGGAGCATTCACCAAATTCAACTTCAATAACAAAAACATAAAGTGGGACCAAGTAAACCAAGTCCTAACCGATATAAGCTGGGAAGATATACTAAGCAACACAGACCCAAACTTATGCCTAGAACAGATTAACTCGGTGGCACTCGATGTATGCACAAGGCTTATTCCTCTAAGATAAGATAAGATTTCGTTCGGATTTTTAACCCCGGAGGGTTAGCCACCCAGGATAACCCAAGAAAGTCAGTGCGTCATCGAGGACTGTCTAACTTATTTCCATTGGGGTCCTTAATCTTGTCCCCCAGGATGCGACCCACACCAGTCGACTAACACCCAGGTACCTATTTGCTGCTAGGTGAACAGGACAACAGGTGTAAGGAAACTTGTCGAAATGTTTCCACCCGCCGGGAATCGAACCCGGGCCCTCCGTGTGTGAAGCGGGAGCTTTAGCCACCAGGCCACTGGAGTAGATGTAGGAGTAGATGTAAAATAGAAAGAGTCAGGCGCTCCCTTTACAGGCGACGGAAAAGAATAACAGAGCGGCTAAAAGAGGTCAATATATCTGAAATGCGTAGGGAGACACTGGTCAGAGAAATAGCAAACATCGAACTTAAGCTAAAGGAATCTTATAGGAGTCAGGAATCGCGGGAAGAACTAAAAGCCATAAATGAAATCGAAAGAAACCCAAAGTATTTCTTCTCCTATGCCAAATCAAAGTCGAGAACAACGTCCGGTATTGGGCCCCTACTTAAACAAGATGGGTCCTACACAGATGACAGCAAGGAAATGAGTGAGCTACTCAAGTCCCAATATGACTCAGTTTTTAGCAAGCTGCTAACCAGACTGAGAGTTGAAGATCAAAATGAATTTTTTATGAGAGAGCCACAGAATTTGGTTAACACAAGCCTATCCGATGTTATCCTGACGCCAAATGACTTCGAACAGGCGATAAATGACATGCCCATGCACTCTGCCCCAGGGCCAGACTCATGGAACTCCGTGTTCATCAAGAACTGCAAGAAGCCCCTATCACGAGCCTTTACCATCCTATGGAGAGGGAGCATGGACACGGGGGTCTTCCCACAGTTACTAAAAACAACAGACATAGCCCCACTCCACAAAGGGGGCAGTAAAGCAACAGCAAAGAACTACAGACCGATAGCACTAACATCCCATATCATAAAAATCTTTGAAAGGGTCCTAAGAAGCAAGATCACCACCCATCTAGAAACCCATCAGTTACACAACCCAGGGCAACATGGTTTTAGAACAGGTCGCTCCTGTCTGTCTCAACTATTGGATCACTACGACAAGGTCCTAGATGCACTAGAAGACAAAAAGAATGCAGATGTAATATATACAGACTTTGCAAAAGCCTTCGACAAGTGTGACCATGGCATAATAGCGCACAAAATGCGTGCTAAAGGAATAACAGGAAAAGTCGGTCGATGGATCTATAATTTCCTCACTAACAGAACACAGAGAGTAGTAGTCAACAGAGTAAAGTCCAAGGCAGCTACGGTGAAAAGCTCTGTTCCACAAGGCACAGTACTTGCTCCCATCTTGTTCCTCATCCTCATATCTGACATAGACAAGGATGTCAGCCACAGCACCGTGTCTTCCTTTGTAGATGACACCCGAATCTGCATGACAGTGTCTTCCATTGCAGACACTTCAAGGCTCCAGGTGGACATCAACCAAATTTTTCAGTGGGCTGCAGAAAACAATATGAAGTTCAACGATGAGAAATTTCAATTACTCAGATATGGTAAACACGAGGAAATTAAATCTTCATCAGAGTACAAAACAAATTCTGGCCACAAAATAGAGCGAAACACCAACGTCAAAGACCTGGGAGTGATCATGTCGGAGGATCTCACCTTCAAAGACCATAACATTGTATCAATCGCATCTGCTAGAAAAATGACAGGATGGATAATAGAACCTTCAAAACTAGGGAGGCCAAGCCCATGATGACACTCTTCAGGTCATTTGTTCTATCTAGGCTGCAATATTGCTGCACACTAACAGCACCTTTCAAGGCAGGTGAAATTGCTGACCTAGAAAATGTACAGAGAACCTTCAGGGTTCGCATAACGGAGATAAAACACCTCAATTACTGGGAGCGCTTGAGGTTCCTAAACCTGTATTCCCTGGAACGCAGGCGGGAGAGATACATGATTATATACACCTGGAAAATCCTAGAGGGACTAGTACTGAACTTCCACACGAAAATCACTCACTACGAAAGCAAAAGACTTGGCAGACGATGCAACATCCCCCCAATGAAAAGCAGGGGAGTCACTAGCACGTTAAGAGACCATACAATAAGTGTCAGGGGCCCGAGACTGTTCAACTGCCTCCCAGCATACATAAGGGGGTTACCAACAGACCCCTGGCTGTCTTCAAGCTGGCACTGGACAAGCACCTAAAGTCGGTTCGTGACCAGCCGGGCTGTGGCTCGTATGTTGGTTTGCGTGCAGCCAGCAGTAACAGCCTGGTTGATCAGGATCTGATCCACCAGGAGGCCTGGTCACAGACCGGGCCGCGGGGGCGTTGACCCTCGGAACTCTCTCCAGGTAAACTCCAGGTAGGCTGGAATATTGCTTCACACTAACAGCACCTTTCAAGGCAGGTGAAATTGCTGTCCTAGAAAATGTACAGAGAACCTTCACGGAGCACATAACAGAGATAAAACACCTCAATTACTGGGAGCGCTTGAAGTTCCTGGAATGCAGGTGGGAGAGATACATGATTATATACACCTGGAAAATCCTAGAGGGACTAGTACCGAACTTGCACATGAAAATCACTCGAAACAAAAGCAAAAGACTCGGCAGACTTACTAGCACGTTAAGAACAATACAATAAGTATCAGGGGCCCGAGACTGTTCAACTGCCTCCCAGCATACATAAGGGGGATTACCAATAGACCCCTGGCTGTCTTCAAGCAGGCACTGGACAAGCACCTAAAGTGGGTACCTGACCAGCTGGGCTGTGGCTCGTACGTTGGATTGCGTGCAGCCAGCAGTAACAGCCTGGTTGATCAGGCTCTGATCCACCATGAGGCCTGGTCACAGACCAGGCTGTGGGGGCGTTGACTCCTGGAACTCTCTCCAGGTAAACTCCAGGTAGTCTCCAGTGACACCTAGGGTGCCCAGTGACACCTGGGGTGCCAAGTGACACCTGGGGTGCCTGGTGACATCTGGGGCACCTGGCCAGTCAGTCAAGTCTCCGATTGTATACTGCAGACATGCAAGTAAATTAAGTTTATTTAGGCACAGGTACACATACATACAATTATCATACATATTGAAAATTACCTAGGATAACATTTTATATTAATATACTCTGGCTGTGTTACTTTCTTATTCTTCCCCCCACACACACATCCTAAAGCTCTAAACTGAAAAAAATGACCCACTGAAAACTTGTCCTCGGATGTTAATCTAGGCCATTGACATTACTAAATATTTAAAAAAAATTAACCTCGCTTTCAAGCAGGCACTCTAAACAGAAATACATTTCAATGTTTTCAAAGTATTTTCTTCCCATTTTTTCTAATAACATCTTGATTGTGACCATGTATAGATGTGTGGATGGTTCATTACCTTTGTAACTTGGTCATGATTGGGACCGGATATAGACATGTAAAAGTTCGTTACCTTTGTAACTTCAGTTATCAAAACGTTGCAGCCCAGTCCCTGGGCCCATTATGTACCTCTGTAATCTTTTGACTACCACCCACAGGATGGGTATGGGGTGCATAATGAAGATACTAAACTAACTAACCATGCCTCATTTCAGTACATGCTTTTATTCACCAGTCATGAATTTACTCAAAAGCTTAAAATTTTTGATCAAGTAAATCTGGTGTAATAATACAACCACTGAAGGTTAAATATATTTATTATATACTGTACCATAAAATTATTTTAACTTAGTACACAAAATATAAAGTACTGTACTTTCCTTATATGCTGTCACTCATTTTGTGCTCACAAAACCCTTTTATGACTCTAGAGAACCCTTTGCATGCCAAAATATAACCTACATTATGTTTACAAAAAATAACTTTCATACTTATACAATGTACATATACAGTATTTTTTTCCCTTGAAGCCTTTTTATTCACTTCTCCGAGGCTATGGGTCCCCACACTTGTACCTAGAGGAGGACCCCATCTATGCGTAACCATATCTAAACACACAATAGTTGTTTCTGCCACAAATGGGTTGTGTAATCCATTTTTGGTATCCAAAGAATGATGAGTTAATAACTTGGTTAATTATGTACCCATGGGTAATGCAATTATAAATACAGTAATGCAATGTAAAGTAATATTGGTAGTGTCATGACTACTGGTCAGTGGGAATGAACAATCCCACATCAAAATATAACAAAAAGAAGGGTGTATATTTCAGTCTGTAACTGCTGAGAAGGGTCTTGGGTAGGGGCTGAAATATACGGCACTCGTTTATTACTTTTTTATTTATTGATATAAAGCTTAAAGGGCGTACTGCAGACAGCATCGAAGAAAAAAAGACTAGGTGCAGAGTGAGCATTTTTTTACGATGTTTTAATCTGAGTAGAACCTCATTAGTTCAATGGCAAACAATAAAACTCCAAAGAGAGCAGAGTAAGCTTTTGTTATATTTTAATCTGTGCAGAGCTTCTTCAGTTCAATGGCAAACAATAAAACTCCAGAGAGAGCAGGGTAAGCTTTTGTTATGATATTTTAATCTGTGCAGAGCTTCTTCAGTTCAATGGCAAACAATGAATCTCTAGAGAGAGCAAAAGATCATCACAATGAAAGTTTATTTTGCACCTTTGTCCTTTGGTTTAGTTCTCCGCACGAGTCTCTTGTTTTCCAACGTATTATGAAATTCAGATGATTCTGTATGTGAATAATTTTTAAAAATATGACAATGATTAGAAGCTGGGCAAAATTTCAGTACAGTATTACATATTGATAACAACTGTATTTCACCAGTCATGAGATCAACACACAAGTTTTTTAAGTACATAAAACACTGAGGTCTCTCTAGGTACATTTATGCTATAAACATGAAATAAGGCAGCCCATACATTTACTAGGAAGAAAATAACATCTCTTTTATCAAGGAGGATATATTTATATAGATATATAAGAGATCCTTGTTTATTGTTGGCTTATTATATTCGAAGGGAAGCGTTAAACCCACAGGGGTCATACACCACCTGGGGAGACATGGCTTGTAATCAAGTTTGATCCAGAGAAGGAGAGGATTGCTCCAGTTCCTTGGCTCAAGATCCCTTAGCCAGCATCAAGTATGCCCCCTTGAACGGTATGGTTGGCTTGTGAATTATTAATCTTGCTTATATCGCAAGATTTTGAGACAGCGTTCCAACAGTATAGAGTAAATCACTCTATCTGGAAGACTGAAAGCGGTAAACCACTCACACACTATGTACAATTTTTTTTATACAGTCAGTCACATACAGCTGTCATTCATTCCTTAGGAACAATGTGGCAGCAAAATCTAAAATAAGATATTTTAACCTATAAATAAAATAAATGACGGATTTTATTTCCAGGCACTATTACGCATACTTGTCCTTATCTTCACACACATGAGAGCTGCTCCCTTAACCTCAACAGGGCAAGCAATGAAGCACTAAAACACACAAAAATTATGTATTACAGTACACATTTTTAATGAAACTGTAGGTTCGAAATCACTCATGTATGTTACATCTTAATCAGTATTCGGAGATACGTAAACACAATTATAGGATTGTATGGCTATATTTGTTTACAGTTATGCACTGATTAATGTCACAGATGTATAAGCTGAGTTACGATGATCTCACAGCCGCAAACTGGGTGAGTTTAGATAAATTCACAGCTGCAAGCTGGATGAATATAACTCACGAAATCGTAATGACATGATTGCAAACAAACCATACCACGGGCAGGGATAGAACCCGCGATCAGAGTCTCAAAACTCCGGACTGTTGCGTTAGCCACTGGACCAGCTAGCCACAATAAGATTCGTCCAACTAGGTATATTTCTACACCATAGGAAGGTTAGCATAGGCACCACTGTGACCACAAATGCAAGTTTTTACAGACGAATCTCCAGCTAGCGTGGCCATGATGAACTCTAGCTCAAGTCCCCTCAAAGCCGTTAACATGACTCACGAAATTGTAATGACACGATTGCAAACAAACCATACCACGGGCGGGGATAGAACCCGCGATCAGAGTCTCAGAAATCCAGACCATCGCGTTGGCCAATGGACCAGCTAGCCAGAATAAGATTCGTTCAACTAGGTATATTTCTACACCATAGGAAGGTTAGCATTTGTGGTCACAGTGGTGCCTATGCTAACCTTCCTATGGTGTAGAAATATACCTTGTTGGATGAATCTTATTGTGGCTAGCTGGTCCAGCGGCTAACGCGACAGTCTGGAATTTTGAGACTCTGATCACAGGTTCTATCCCCTCCCGTGGTATGGTTTGTTTGCAATCGTGTCATTACGATTTCGTGAGTCATGTTAATGACTGTGAGGGGACTTGAGCTAGAGTTCGTCACGACCCCGCTAGCTGGAGATTCGTCTGTAAAAAATTTGCATTTGTGGTCACAGTGGTGCCTATGCTAACATTCCTGTGGTGTAGAAATATACCTAGTTGGATGAATTGCATTGTGGCTAGCTGGTCCAGTGGCTAACACGACAGTCTGGAGTTTTGAGACTCTCTGATCATGGGTTCTATCCCCACCCATGGTATGGTTTTGATGAATATAGATGAACTCAGTCACAAACTGGCTGAGTTCAGATCCATTTATATTCAGCCAAAGAGTAATCCTATTAATGGTCATTCATCATGCACAGATTGAAAATGATTGACCTAATCTTGAACACTGTTATCCCAATCAAAACACTTATCCTGTATCCACCAATGTATCTTTTGTGTCAGTACTGCATAACTGTCACTAAAAAGCAACAGCAATAAAAGAACAAAGTACTACTGTCTTAATATTTTAATTAAATTACACTTTTAACTTCTAAACATCACTCTGACCAGCTCCACAATATCAGTGATACAGGAGTACAGTAGAGCACTCTATATTTTCAAGCTGTACAACAAATTACTTTTTCCAGCATAAACCTTTTTCGTTTTTGCATCATCTGATACTTCAAACATTTACATGCATTCTTAACTTAGTTGAACATTGCTTATAATGCAGTTCAATATCTGCAGAAGTAGAAGATCCATAGTTTAAATAGCTGCAAGACATCCTCATATTTCTACAATTAACTATCTATTTGTAGCTACAGGAGCAGAGCTGTGCTCGTGGTGTCCCATCCTCAAGTGACATTGAAGAAAATATGAAGTACCAAATGAGTCTAATTTTTTTGTTCTAATGGAAGGAATTCATTCAGCTTTATGAATAAAGTATTGGTGCAGAGCTAAAACAGAAGATAAACAAACATTTTATTTCACGTACAAATTGACTATAATTATTATTATTAGAAAATGTATGATTTACTAAGTTGTTTTTGCATTATAAAACTTGAATTTTAATTTTTTGTTCACCTGCGGAAGTCAAATTCATACGACCTGTGCAGGGCCCTCGTCTTTCCATTAAAGATTTCTGCATATGAGATGTAAATATAATAAAAGCCTTCAATACACTTTAATTTTTTAAAATTTGTGGGCATACAGTAGAGTATATAAATAACTGAAGAAAATATAGATTTCATTTCAATATGAATTTGGCTAGTACAGCTCTGTTAAGGAACTGGATGAGAAAGGAGTTGTATACGTACCAAAATTGAACAGAACATTAACACTACTGAATACTTTGTACTTCTGGCAGTACACAGGATTCCTTTCCCTAACAGAATACTCTATAACCATACCTATAGTTGTCTTCTAGGTATCAGTAAAATTTATGAACACTAACAGATGAGAACTTAATTTTGATCATACCTATACAATAATCAGTAAGTTTCATTTGCAGCTTAACTGTTTTAAAAACTGGACAACATGTCCCTGCATCTTGACTGCCAGCATACACTTCTTGAACCACCACTACCCTTCTTCCTAGATGCACTCAACATTGGATTCAAGAAGAGAGCCACTTATCCCAAAGAGCACTTCACTCAAAGTCATGCCCAGTGATATAATACTGAATATGTCAGCACTTTTAAAAAGCTCCTCTATGTAGTGTGATCTTTTGTAAATGTGATTTGAAAGGTACATCCAAAGTTGAAAAAAGTCTTCATGGGATGTATTGTTCAATTTTAAATAAACTTTTTAAATTGCATTTGCAAAAAATCACATTTCTGTATACTGAATAGCTTTATAAGAGAGTCGATTATACTCAAGTTCAAAGGACAGTACTAAGATGCCCCATTATGTTTACCAAGAAGGCAAGGTCCTAAAACCATTCTTATTGTGAATGCAAATATAATGCCATACAGGGTTTAGATTTCACAGCAAAACACATTCTTACCCACTGCCTACTGTCTTATATGGGTACATAGTGTTCTTTTTGCATTCTTCTTCAGAATTTAGAAAGCTTGTACTGTGTAGCAAAACATGTGTAAATTTGATTTACTTTTTATGGTATTTTATTTACATATTTGATCCACAACTAACCCAAATTTTGGAGAGGAACCTTTAGACAATACTCTGGTTTGCTGTGGTTCATTATAAATGACAACCAAGTGAGGAAATGAGGAGAAAACAGAATGCAGGTCCATAAAGAGGAATAGGGAAGAAAGTGACAAGACAGGTCAGGGGTTCAGTAGTAAGGATGAGATAAATTACATTGCATAGGAATGGATTAGCAAGAAAACTTCGCCCCCTACCATCACACATGGAATGGCTGGTCTATATCAACTTGTCTTACGTTTTTTTTTCCCATTTCTTTCCAGAAAGTAACGAAACATCTCACACTACTACTCTTTCTCTCTCACTGTCACTCATATCAACTTGCAGTCGACATTAAAATTTTAGTGAAAAACATCTCTTGAGGGCACAACAAAGATCCATGCCTATGTAAATAAAGTTTCTGAATGGGACATAGAAAAGAATGCTTTTCACTACAAGTTTCCTCTTCAAAGAATGGATTATTTGTTAATTAGTCTAGCTATGATATTTTGACTCTCATTATTTGTTTACATACTTGTTTACATACTTGTTTACAGAGTTGTTTACACAGTGCTAGAGAACAGTTTTGTTGACGAGCCGTGGGATTTGCTTTCTCATTCATAAATAATTCTTCAATCATAATGTGAGAATCACTGAGAGAGCTTTAATTTAATACAGCATCCCATGCTGAAAGATATTTCCTCCAAAAGCTGCTTGAAGAGTTGATGGTTGTGAGGCACACCTCTGGTGAAAGTCCATGTTTTTACCTCAACATACATTACACTGGTCCAGGAGCTGTGACTCGACCTCTGCAACCACATATAGGTGTGTACCCAGAGTTTTGGTACTGCTTGCTTCCATTTTATTAAAATAAAAAATACAAATATGGTTTGGATGAATGCTCTGAACTTTGCTGATAATTTTTACTATAAATCCATTTTTTTACTTGTCGCAGCATTCACTGTGCTTTTCCAGACCATACTTTGCCATTTTTCCAAGGTTATTTCTGCAAATAATCAAACACATTATAAACTGAAGTGTAATATTTCTGAAGGTATTCAGGAAAATCGGCTAGCCGGACTCGAGTCCTGGAGGTGGGAAGTACAGTGCGTGCATTCTGAAGGACGAGTGCAGATATGTTGCAGTTTTTGAACTGTAAGTATTGGCACGCTTCTGGCAAGACAGTGATGAAGTTTGTGATGATGAAAGTGTTTCTTCTTTTTGGGTCACCCTGCCTTGGTGGGAAAAGGCCAATGCGCTAAAAAAAAATTATGAACTTGTTTTAGTATTAAATTTCGTGAGAGAAAGATATTCACAGAAGCTTATTTCTTCTTGGAAAACAATACACATCTGCAACCTTTGTCATGCAACACATGTTTTCAGAAACTCTCACTCAGCTGAAGTCCTTCAAGAGTTTGCTAATACATAATATTGAGAAAAGGCATAAGTAGCTCTCACTGCTCCTTCAGTCAAGTGATGCACAGATTGTTGCCTTTTAATCTCAGTTTACCATCACAACTTAATGCCAGTACACTTGTCTTAGACAAGTCATAGAGTTACTATTGTATTATTGGGAAATGACAGCTAATCGCTTGCAAATCAAATACAGTGGACCCCCGCTTTATGATCACCTCCCAATGCGACCAATTATGTAAGTGTATTTATGTAAGTGCGTTTGTACGTGTATGTTTGGGGGTCTGAAATGAACTAATCTAATTCACAATATTCCTTATGGGAACAAATTCGGTCAGTACTGGCACCTGAACATACTTCTGGAATGAAAAAATATCATAAACCGGGGGTCCACTGTATGTAAATAAGTAAAAGCACTTACAGCACTTCTTGAAGCACATGAAATTCCTTGTCTACCTTCTTTAAGATGACTTTATTAATAATAATACTGGGTTTTGGCCCATTTTAACTTGTTCTCCAGATGTCTCGCCTGGATCAAGCTCCAGCTTCTGGGCTCTTTCCTCTGAACTTTATGACAAATAAATCATATTTGAACACCTACACCTACACACATTCTTCTAAACAGAGCAAAAAATAAATTTTAAGTATAAATGTGAACAACGTGATGAAACAAATATCATGAATGCTCTAAGTATAAATAAAACAGCAGCGCTGTATAGCCCTTGTGGCTTAGCGCTTCTTTTTGATTATAATAATAATAATAATAATAATAATAAATAAAACAACATATCAAAGGAAAATAAAATAAGTACCGTAAAACGGTGAAACAGTAAAATGACAAATCAGCAATTTGACCTATTCCATTTGAGTGTACATTTAATAAATTCTTCCCTACATATGCAAATGGATGGTCCATGCAGAACTCTAACTGTTAAGCATATTTCTATTATTAAAGCCTTAGAGGAATGCTTGAGACATCTGCCACAAATGTTTGCATATTGATTTAATTATTGTATATGAAGTGCTTGCTCTCTGCTTGCACTGTAACATATAATATAAATGAGAATAAAAGTCTCACTTTTTTTTTTTTTTTACATTAATAACAATGGAAGTGAATTACAGCTTCCTATATGAATAACAACACATTATTTACTCAAACCAGCACAACTTATTTAATCATGCTGCATGTCTAAAAGCATTATCTATATGCATATACCAAATGTCTTTACAACTAATTATCTGGAACAGAAGTGACTAGCTAAAAAAAATTGAAAATATTGATTATTCCATAACATGTAAGATGCAAATAACTTATGTAATAGGAGCGTAACTTCAATTGAACTTAGTGCTCTTATGAAATTTGTCAAAATAAACTTTGAAAACTGTGACTTGACTATGGAAATTTTATCTTCACTGATATATTCAGTGTGCTTGAGAAGTCAGATTTTAACCTTGATAAGCTGGTCAGGTACTATTTCTAACTTTCTCTTGGGAGTATTTTCAGCAGTTAGCTGAACAACCATTCCCAAGTGAGAGGCTTCATAAGCTGAGTGTGACATAAATTATGATTCTCGACAAATTACTGCAGTAGTGCAAAAGTACTCATTACACGGCCAATATTTTTTTCTTTTTAAATAGCTGTATACCTGGATTTATATCCGAGTTTCGGTCAAGGAACTCGGCACACTTCATATAGTATATAGAATTGATCCTATGAAGTATGATTTGTGAATAAAAATGTTGTTTGCTTTTTTCAAAATACGCAGGTACAGATTTAAAATTTAAAAAAATATTTTCAGTTACTGTGTCAAATAAATATTAGCGCACTACCTGATTTAAGGATTCTGCTCAAATTTTGAGATGAGGGACTCGACTCGTGAAATGGGTCTTGGGCATCTGGTTTCATCAGAAGGATTAAGGTTTTGAATGAAACTGGAATCAAACACTCCTTCCCATGAGTCAATATTATGTGTTTGTGTTGTTCCTGCTACCTCATCATTCCCTCTGGCAGCTCCTGTATCTACTGTTCCTTCACTATGAACCCTCACTGTAGGTTGAGTTTCTGTACTATGGATACATGTACTGCTAAATCCACAATCTTCACTGCAGATTATACTCTCATCAAGAGTATTGTGAACACTTTCAAGCTTTTCTTCATCTTCCTTCACCTCAAGCTCCATTAATGTTACATTTTCCATTATTTCTGCAAGAAGATCATCAATAACAGGAAGTTTTCTTGGGGAGTCATCAATTTCCACTTCTCTCTTTGTGGAAGTTATGACTGATGAAATTTCAGTGAATTCTATATTTACATTTTCACCCTTTTCTTCACCATTCTGCCATGCAATACCAGTGCTCTGTGGGCTAGTATTAACTATGGCAGCATTTTTGTGCTCTGTGAATTTCTTTGTAGTCTCCTTTCTCCTTTTCATCATAGGAAGTATCATACAGTGACTGTAGAATCTTCTATAGAAAGGGTGACTAGCATTTGAGTCCTGCCCTGATCCACTGACCCCTGAGACAGGTGTGGCAGGTAAGGTTTTACTAGATCTGGAAAATTTATTATTACTATCATCTATATCTTCTAGAGTGTTAGATCGCCTTGCGAGACTTTTGGCTGTTCTCTGTGGTCTATCAAATGATCTACGGCCTCCTCCATTTCTTAACAAATTCTGTTTGTCATTGGTCAGCTTTAAATTTTTCCTCTTTTCTGGCACACTGTCACCAGCAACAAAATCTAAAGACTCATTACTAGCAACCTTTATATCATTGAAACTAGAAGATGATCTACCCTTTTCACTGATAACTTCAAAATTAGACTCCTTGTCACTAAAACTGCCATCTATGAGAGGCTCACTTTTTATGCTGGCTAACTCACATCTTTTATAGCCACAGTCTTTTTCATCTTCACCCTCAACATTTGGACTCTGAATCTGTAAACACATTCCCCACACTCTGCTCTGGTTTTTCCTTAATGAGGATCTCTCACCACTCTCAGCAGCACCTGTATCTTTCCTGTTGAACATTCGTACAAATCTCGACACTTTACTGTCTTTCTTTTCTTTGACTAGAGTATCAATAAGTGCTTTGTCTTCTTTGCCACTCTCTAATTTGTTAGGAATCTCCAAATCTCCATCAGAGCTGGAAATACACAACTCTGAATTAATTTTTGATTCTAAGTTTTTCAAGTTTTCTTTCTTTTGTTCCACTGTGTAGCCTGTGATATCAGGCCACCCATTTGTGATAACACCATTAGATACAAGGTCTTCTGAGTTATCCAAGATGATTATGGAGTCCTTTAATTGTCCAACATTGTCCTCATTACCATTTGTCTCCCTAGTTTGTTCTCTTATGTTTGAGTCACAGTGGAGTGACCCTTTTTTTAAATTTTGACTAACTTCCAAGTTTGACTCTTCTTGGGACATAATTTCTTTAATATTGCCATTATCAGTACTGATTTTTGTGGTACCTAAAGTCTGTAATGTGCATCTCGTTGTATTAATGTCTCTACACTTGTGGTTTTCTTTATTAAAATTTTTCACTGAACCATTTACAAAAGAATCTTTAGCGTCTACTGAGGATTTCAATTTTATTCTGTTGATCATATTAATAGTTGTATGTTCTGGTGTATTTTTAGAGTCAAAATTCTCTTGTTATTTTGGTTTTCAATTTTATTCATATTTTCAGATTGATCTGAAACATCTCTAATATGAATAACATGTGAATAATCATGAGAAGTTGCTTGAACATTTTCAAAATCTTTGGATGACTTCTGATCCATAAGAAATCTCTCTCTTGCCGTCATGCTTTTGGAACTTTTGGACTTCATTGCAATTGCATCTTGATCTGTATGTGTAGCAGCAAGCCAGTCATTCCTCGTCTTGACTTTTTTACTAGCTTCTTCACTCTTCCTTTGAATCGTGTGCTTCGGTTCTGGAACAATTTTCTGTGATATCTTAACTAACTTTCCTGGATCTTGAGTTGTAACAAGGCTGTCCTTATCTACATTATCAGTCAATGATGTTTTGGTGCAAACAGATCCCACTGCTTCGGGTCCTATACAGGGACCGGATGGTGTGTCTCAAGACTGCGGTGTGGTTGCCTCACATGCATCCATGTTAGATACTCGGAAGCACATGCGAGCTCCAAGGGCACATGAATTTGATGGGGAGGCAAGATGTACCATTGGTTCTGCTGGTCGTGGCACTGATGTTGACCACACTTTCTCCTGCAAGGCAAGAAAAATCCATGATTAAATCTAAAAATGCACATACATTATCTACATTAAGGAGTTGATAATGACATTCAAAAGATTTTCTGTAAAATATCTACAGCTAGCCCTGCACATTTGCAAGTGCCCAGCCACCCAATCATATTTACCAAACAACAATATTTTATGATGTTTTCACGTGTTTTATGATTGTTTGTGGTTCAATAGGTTAAGGAAGCAGTACTGTTAGGCTAAGTAAATGCTATTATTATATTTCCTTACAATATACACCTACCATCCGACTTACTACCTGCTCGACTTACGACCACTCGACTTACAACCGTGTTTTTTATGCCAAATTTCTGGGAAATAAACAACTATTTGTGTTGTACACAGTGTTTATCCTAAACCTTACAGTATAAAATACAGTACTAACAGCATAAAAAGTAAAGTAAAACATGAAATACCAAAATAAAACAATAAAATAAAGTCATTACAAAAATGTTATGTTGATATTCAGTAGTAAAGTTCGACTTACGACCATTTCGACTTACGACCGGTTTCTCGGAACCGAACTCGGTCGTAAGTCCGATGGTAGGTGTATTTGCACATCAAAACATTCGTGAACGCTACAGTACAGCATTATTATATTTCCCTACATCATATTTGCGCACCAAACATTCACGAATTTTCAAGATTCGCGAGGTTCTTGATCCCCTAACCCTTGCGAATGTGGAGGGCCTCCTGTACTATGTATTTTGATGAACCATGTACATACTGTACTAACAACTTCTCATAAATATATCTATTTTGCTAGTACAGTTGGGCCCTGACTTTCTGTTCCAAGTAACCATGTTTACCACTTACAACAATTTGGAACTCAATTATTGCTTACAAACAAACGACTTTCACATTCAATAGTGGAGATCACTTACAAAGCCTAATATAAGCAAGAAACATCCCGTCGGGTGAGCATGACAGGCTTCTAAGGGTAAATGCTGTTTTCTTAACATAGTTTTCACTTAATGAGCTCTTTTCTCAGCGTTCACTGCAGCTGCTCAAACAGTTTTGTTAAATAAAATATACTATAAAAAAAGTAAAAATAACGTAAGATGCTGATTCTTCAACGGTATCAGAAATACAGTGTAACCCTGGTGTTCAAACATACTGGACCTCGAACAAACCAAAGTCTGAACAATTTTGTTCAGATAAAACTGACCCTGTCTTTGAATGTTTTTCTGGAGTCTGAACACGATGACTTGTTTAAAGTACAGTTGTCAAAAAATTTTACAGGTAAGCCTTGTTTCAAAAGTGCTTTGAAGTGACCTCTGGCACTAACCTGGTTCTCAGAGACTTTTGGAAGAGTTTAACATCCTCCAGTGTGTGATTCTGATAATTAAAGCCTGGGAAATATCGTTTCAGATAGTGAATTTTTTACAGTTCGAACACCACCTAGGAACCAACTAAGTTCAAAAACCGGGGTTCTACTGTACACTGAATTTTCACTCGTATTTTATTGAAGGCGGTCATGAATATACCCTTCAAGGAAGGCTCTTTGATGGTGGCGAAGAGGTCTTGATCTAAGGAATTGGAGATACTCTCACTCTTCTTTGGATGAAATGTGATTACCTCCCATTCCCAAGGAACAATATGACCCTTAAGTGCTTAGTGCTTTCCCATAATAATACTAATAATAGTAGTAATAATAATTTGTAATTATAAAGATCTGATGCGAGATTTATTTTAATGTAATGTATCCATTTCAATGTGGTTTAATGTTTAAGCAATATTCAATATGACACAACTATCACTGATTTATACTCTTTACAACAAAGAACAAATGGGTATATTTAAAACTGAATACAAACCATCCTTTCTAAATTTGGGGTGGAGTTTTCATCAACTGGTCCATGAGGCTTGAAGATGAGGGACGAAGAATTGACACAGAAGCGCTGTCCTGTGGGCTTAGGTCCATCATCAAACACATGACCAATATGTGCACCACATGTTGCACATGCAACCTCTGTCCTTGCCAAAGATGGATTGCACACCAAGAGCAGAAGGTTGGCACCAACTAAAAAAAAGCATAAACATCACTACTATGTGACAGATAATTTCTAGGAATTTATATCGGAATTCTGCAGAATGAGCAATCTATGCGATCAAATTGGAATGCTTATAACATCAAAAATTAAAACATTTTATTGATCATATGGTTTAGCTGGGCTATTTGGTTTAAATGATGTAAATGGTTTACAAAACCGACAAGTTGAAGAATGAGACACTTGTGCAACATTTGGGAATCATTATTACGGAAACATTTTAACAGATATTGGCCTTTTCAGTCCATTACAGAGACGAACAGTAGAAGATGATGAGGAGTTTGAGGTAATCAGTCCCTCAGCCTGGAGTTGATGTGTTCAATCCATCATCTTTTATGGTCCTTTTCTTTCTGTATGTATTGGATTGAAGAAGCCAATGACTGGCAAAACATTCCATAATAAAGATTCCCTCATTATTTTATTTGGTTTAAAGCCTATCAACTACACAAGGGTCATCATGACTACATGTCAACTCTACACCACCTGTCATGGATACTTCAACCCCTAATTTAGGGATTAAAATACTCTGTGTATATGTACTGAAATATACAAACCCCTTTTAAGTGTATATACAGCATGGTTAGCATGTATTTAAAAAAGAAATCAATGGGAAATTCGCTATGACAAACTTTGAAATAACTAAGGAAAAGTTAACATCAAATTTTTCTTTGACGATGTAGAATTTTTTCTTTACAACTGAGAATCATCCCTTTGAGGAGGGGGTGAGTGCCTTTGTGTTAGCCAAAGGGCTCTTGATCCAGGAAATTTGAGTTACTATTTCACCTTGGATAGAATCAGCTTAACAACCACTCCCCAGATACGGTGTAACCCTACGGATTTAGTGCTTCTCCATGAATATAGGTAGTAGGTTGGTAAACAGCAACTGCCCAGGGAGGTGCTACCATCCTACCAAGTGAGTGTACAATGAAAACCTGTACAGTGGACCCCCACATACCGTTGGCATCACATAACGTTAAATCCGCATACCGATACATTTTATCACTAAGATTTTGCCTCGCATACCGCTAAAAAACCCGCTCAACGCTATTCGTCCGAGATGCGTCTATGTGAGGCCTGAGCCAGCCTCACATGTTCCGCCGGTGGGATTGTTTACAAGCCAGCCTCCGAGGTAACATCCAAGCATACAATCGGAACATTTCGTATTATTACAGTGTTTTTGGTGATTTTATCTGTAAAATAAGTGACCATGGGCCCCAAGAAAGCTTCTAGTGCCAACCCTGTGGTAAAAAGGGTGAGAAATATTATCGAAATACTGTGGTACCATGGTCAACTGCTGATGCTGCTGCTGCTGTAGCACCGTCAGCTGCTGCTGCTGCTGTACCACCGTCAGCTGCTGCTGCTGCTGTAGTACCGTCTGCTGCTGCTGTAGCACTGTCTGCTGTTGCTGTAGCACCATCTGCTGCTGCTGTAGCACCGTCTGCTGCTGCTGCTGCTGTAGTACCGTCTGCTGCTGCTGTAGCACCGTCTGCTGCTGCTGTAGCACTGTCTGCTGCTGCTGTAGCACTGTCAGCTGCTGCTGTAGCACTGTCAGCTGCTGCTGCTGTAGCACTGTCAGCTGCTGCTGCTGCTGTAGCACTGTCAGCTGCTGCTGCTGCTGCTGTAGCACTGTCTGCTGCTGCTGCTGCTGTAGCACTGTCAGCTGCTGCTGCTGCTGCACTGTCAGCTGCTGCTGCTGCTGTAGCACTGTCAGCTGCTGCTGCTGCTGTAGCACCGTCAGCTGCTGCTGTACCACCGTCAGCTGCTGCTGCTGCTGTAGTACCATCTGCTGCTGCTGTAGCACCATCTACTGCTGCTGTAGCACTGTCAGCTGCTGCTGCTGCTGTAGCACCGTTGTTGGTGTGGCTTATTGAGAATACCAAGAAACAATTAACCCCAGAGGGTTAGCCACCCAGGATAACCCAAAAAAGTCAGTGTCATCGAAGACTGTCTAACTTATTTCCATTGGGGTCCTTAATCTTGTCTCCCAGGAAGCAACCCACACCAGTCGACTAACACCCAGGTGAACAGGGAAAAATGCCTGGAACTAGTGCTCATATTGGAGAATTTAAAGCCAGCAAAGGTTGGTTTGAGAGATTTAAGAATCGTAGTGGCATACACAATGTGGTAAGGCCTGTTCTGGAAGAAAATGCCAAACAGGACCTACAGTACTCAGGAGGAAAAGGCACTCCCAGGACACAGTGTCTCATCAGTCATTGCTGCATCTTCAATAAAAGTAAGTGTCATTTATTCTTCATTTAGTAGAGTAGTACATGCACAATATATATTGTGCATGTACTACTCTACTATTGTGCATGTATCCTTCTCTTTGTGTTTAGGAAAATGTATATTTCATGTGGTAAATTTTTTTTTTTCATATTTTTGGGTGTCTTGCACGGATTAATTTGATTTCCATTATTTCTTATGGGGAAAATTCATTCGCATAACGATAATTTCGCATAACAATGAGCTCTCAGGAACGGATTAATATCGTTATGTGGGGGGTCCACTGTAATTGTTTTACATGATGGTAGGATAGCTGGTGCCTTTTGTCTGTCTCATAAACATGCAAGATTTCAGGTACATCTTGCTACTTCTACTTGCACTTAGGTCACACTACACATACATGTACAAGCATATATATACACACCCCTCTAGGTATTCTTCTATTTTCTTTCTAGTTCTTGTTCTTGTTTATTTCCTCTTATCTCCATGGGGAAGTGGAACAGAATTCTTCCTCTGTAAGCCATGCGTGTTGTAAGAGGCGACTAAAATGCCGGGAGAAAGGGGCTAATAACCCCTTCTCCCGTATAAATTACTAAATTTAAGAGAAACTTTCGTTTTCTTTTTTGGCCACCCGCCTAGGTGGGTATGGCCGGTGGTTTGGGAAAGAAAGAATTTCACCTTGGGTAGAATCGCTTAACAACCACTCCCCAGATACGGTTTTTAACCCTACAGATTTGTGCTTTTCCATGAATATAGTAAAACGTCTAACCCCAAACAAGGTAAAAACATTTAAAAAGATTTCGTTCTTCGCAAAATTTTCAGTGTGTGATTTTAGTTTTATTTGTTTAAGCACAAAAAAAGCCACTATCACCCGGGGGATTTCGGCAGACTTAACCCAAAACTTAAAGACTAAAATCTAGAAGGTAATAATAATAAAAATATTAGTAACAATAAAATGTATTTACCCTGTGAGAGATCTTTTTTGAGAGAAACTTTGTTTTACGAGATATTAGAAGGCAGGCCAGCCTGACCCCCAGTCATATTAGTGTGTGAGAGGAAGAGTTTTCCCTGCCCCACTATACAGCAGTACACTCCTCGGTCCCAATGCTTGTAGTACTTGTTGGAGTATGGCCTGTGACGAATGTATGGTGTATTTTATTCTATGGGGGCAGTAAAGGTTGTACATAAGAGGAATCGTTGGATTCAGAGCGACTGGGAATGGTTGTTTGGATGGGTTTCAAACTTTAATTGATGTGATTTACTAAGAGGAGGCTTTATATAACATATTGTAGTGTTTGTGCACTGATATGTGAGTATCCCTCAGTGTTTGTACACTATCCCTGTGTATCCCTCAGTGTTTGTACACTATCCCTGTGTATCCCTCAGTGTTTGTACACTATCCCTATGTATCCCTCAGTGTTTGTACACTATCCCTGTGTATCTCTCAGTGTTTGTACACTGTATCCCTGTGTTTGTACTCTGTATCCCTGTATTTCTACACTGACATGTGTGCATCTCTCAGTGTTTGTACACTGAGAGGTGTGTATCTCTCTGTGTTTGTATACTGAGATGTGTGTATCCCTCAGTGTTTGTACACTGAGATGTGTGAATCCCTCAATGTTTGTATGCTGTATCCCTCAGTGTTTGTACAATGAGATGTGTGCATTCCTCAGTGTTTGTACACTGAGAGGTGTGTATCCCTCAGTGTTGTACCTGAGAGGGTGTATCCCTCAGTGTTGACCTGAGAGGTGTGTATCCCCCAGTGTTGTACACTGAGGGTGTGTTTTCCCGTGTTTGAAACTGAAAGGTGTGTATTTCCCCCAGTGTTTTTTTCACCGGGATGTGCAATCCCTCGTGTTTGTACACTGAGAGTGCGTACCCCACTGTTTTTTAACGAATGTGTGTATCCCCCATGTTTTTACACTGAGGGTTGTATCCCTCAGTGTTTTTTACACTGGAGGGGTTATCCCCCAGTTTGTACCTGAGAAGTGTGTATCCCTCAGTGTTTGTACCTTAGATGTGTGTATCCCCCAGTGTTGTACACTGGATGTACCCTCAGTGTTTGTACACCAAGAGGGGTTATCCCTCAGTTTTTGTACCTGAGATGTGCATATCCTCAGTGTTTGACATGAATGTGCATACCTTCAGTGTTTGTACACTGAGAGGGTGTATCCTCGTGACAATTGAGAGGTGGTATCCCCGGTTTTACATGAGAGGTGGTATCCCTATGTTTTTACACTGAGAGGTGTGTAAACCCTCATTTTTGTTTCCTGAGGTTTTGCATCCCCAGTGTTTGTACACTGGATTGTGTATCCCTCAGTGTTTTTACACTGAGAAATTTTTGGGATCCCTCAGTGTTTAAAAATTGGATGTTATCCCTCAGTGTTTGTACATGAGAGGTGTGTTCCCCCTGTTTTTACACTTGATTGGTATCCCTCAGTGTTTGTCACTTAGTGTGTGTATCCCCTTTTTTGTACATTTGATGTTGTATCCCCATGTTTTCATTAGTGTGCGATCCTCATGTTTGTACATTGGTGTTTGTCACTGAGAGGTGTGTATCCCTCGTGTGTGTACACGAGAGGTGTGTATCCCTCGGTTTTGTATATGAAGGGGTGCTCCGTGTTTTTACACTTGATGAGTGTATCCCCGTGTTTGTACACTTAGATGTGTGTATCCCGTGTTTGTACACTAGATGTGTGTATCCCTCAGTGTTTTTACACTTAAATGTGTTAAACCCCCATGTTTGTACATTTCGTGTTTGTACACTGAAGGGGGGATCCCTTTAGTGTGGTTTCACTGAGGGTGTGCATCCCCCCGGTGTTTGTTACTGGGTGTTATCCCTGTTTGTACACTTAGATGTGTGTTCCCTCGTGTACACTTAGATGTGTGTATCCCTCAGTGTTTGTACACTTAGATGTGTGTATCCCTCAGTGTTTGTACACTAGGAGGTGAGTCCGTATTGTTTATACTGTTACCAATGATTAATGGACATACTGTAAACTAAAAGAAAATACAAAATTCAAATTTCATTTTCCACGAGGCGTTAAACCTGTGGGCCATTTAATACAAGAAGTATTGGAGGCTCGAACCTCCGTCTCCTGCCTAAAATAGTTATAATATCCTTTCATAATTTCTCGTACATCATATTTGTTCCACTATATTCATTATTTATTTACAACAATATTTTCATTATTTATTTACAACAATATTTTTATTATTTATTTACAACAATATTTTCATTATTTATTTACAACAATATTTTCATTATTTATTTACAACAATATTTTCATTATTTATTTACAACGACATTTTTCACTATATTTTATAAAAAAAATGTTAATTTTACAATATACTTAAACTTACAGGAAGGTTTTGGAAGTGGGGAGTGGAGTAGGGTTAGGGGGGTGGGGGGTGTGAGTAGGGTTAGGGAGGTGGGGAGTGTGAGTAGGCTTAGGGGGGTGGGAGTGTGAGTGGTTAGGGGGTGGGGGTGTGGTAGGCTTAGGGAGGGGGGGAGGTGAGTAGGTTAGGGGGTGGGCAGGTAGTAGGCTTAGGGAGGTGGGATGTGAGTAGGCTTAGGAGGGGGGATGGAGTAGGCTTAGGGGGGTGGGAGTGTGAGTAGGCTTGGGAGGTGGGCGTGTGAGTAGGCTTGGGGGTGGGAGTGTGAGTGGCTTAGGGAGGTGGGGTGGGAGGCTTAGGGAGGTGGGGGTGTGAGTAGGTTAGGGGGGTGGGAGTGTGGAGGCTTTTGGGAGGGGGAGTGTGAGTAGGCTTAGGGAGGTGGGGGAGTGTGAGTAGGGTAGGGAGGTGGGCAGGGTTGAGTAGGCTTTGGGAGGTTTGGGGATTGTGGAGGCTTAGGGAGGTGGGGAGTGTGGTGGCTTAGGGAGGGGGGTGTGAGTAGGGTTAGGGGGGGGGGGGCAGTGTGATAGGCTTAGGGGGGTGGGCGTGTGAGTAGGGGTTAGGGAGGTGGGGGGTGTGAGTAGGTTAGGGAGGTGGGAGTTAGTGGCTTAGGGAGGTGGGCAGTGTGAGTTTCCCTTTGGGGGGTGGGGAGTGTGGTAGGCTTGGGAGGGGGGCAGTGTGAGTAGGCTTTGGGGGTGGGGATGTGAGGGCTTAGGGGGGTGGGGAGTTGGTAGGCTTAGGGAGGTGGGGAGTGTGGTAGGTTGGGAGGTGGGGTGTGATAGGGTTTTGGGAGGTGGGGATGTGAGTAGGGTTAGGGAGGTGGGGTGTAGTAGGGTTTAGGGAGGTGGGAGTGTGGTAGGCTTAGGGGGGGGGGAGTGGGAGTAGGTTGGGAGGGGGTGGGGGTTGAGGGAGGGTTAGGGAGGTGGGGGGTGTGAGTAGGTTAGGGAGGTGGGGAGTGTGAGTAGGCTTAGGGAGGGGGGCAGTGTGAGTAGGCTTAGGGAGGTGGGGAGTGTGAGTAGGCTTAGGGAGGTGGGGGGTGAGTAGCTTAGGGGGTGGGGGTGTGAGTAGGCTTGGGAGGTGGGGGGTGAGTAGGCTTAGGGAGGTGGGGAGTGGGGTAGGTTTGGGAGGGGGGAGTGTGAGTAGGCTTAGGGAGGTGGGGAGTGTGGTAGGCTTAGGGGGGTGGGCAGTGGGGAGTGGCTTGGGAGGTGGGGGGGGGATGGAGTAGGCTTAGGGAGTGGGGAGTGTGAGTAGGCTTAGGGGGGTGGGAGTGGGTAGGCTTAGGGGGTGGGCAGTGGAGTAGGCTTAGGAGGTGGGGGGTGTGAGTAGGGTTAGGGAGGGGGGGGGGGGTTTGGGAGGCTTAGGGGGGTGGCAGTGTGGTAGGCTTGGGAGGTGGGGATGTGAGTAGGCTTAGGGAGGTGGGGGGTGATTTAGGGTTAGGGAGGTGGGCGTGTGAGTAGGGGTTGGGGGGTGGGGGTGTGAGTGGGTTAGGGGGGTGGGTGGAGTAGGCTTAGGGAGGGGGGGATTGGTGAGTGGCTTGGGAGGTGGGAGTGTGAGTAGGGCTTTGGGAGGTGGGAGTGTGAGTAGGCTTAGGGGGGTGGGCAGTGTGGTAGGCTTAGGGAGGTGGGGAGGTAGTAGGCTTGGGAGGTGTGCATGGAGTAGGCTTAGGGGGGGTGGGGGGGTGTGAGTAGGCTTGGGAGGTGGGGGGTGTGGTAGGCTTAGGGAGGTGGGGAGTGGGGGAGTGGCTTAGGGAGGTGGGCATGGAGTAGGTTAGGGGGGTGGGGAGTGTGAGTGGCTTAGGGAGGTGGGGAGGGAGTAGGTTTAGGGAGGTGGGGGGTGTGGGGTAGGGTTAGGGGGGTGGGGAGTGTGGTAGGCTTAGGGAGGGGGGAGTGGAGTAGGCTTAGGGGGGGTGGGGGAGTGTGAGTAGGCTTAGGGGGTGGGGGGGGGGAGTAGGCTTAGGGAGGTGGGAGTGTGGAGGCTTAAGGAGGGGGGGAGTGTGAGTAGGTTTGGAGGTGGGGGTGTGAGTAGGCTTGGGAGGTGGGGGGTGTGAGTAGGGTTAGGGGGTGGGGGGGGGAGTGTGATAGGCTTTGGGGGGGTGGGGGGGGGTGAGTGCTTAGGGAGGTGGCAGTGTGAGTAGGGTTAGGGAGGTGGGGAGTGGAGTAGGCTTGGGGGGTGGGAGTGTGGTAGGCTTTGGGAGGTGGGGAGTGTGAGTGCTTGGGAGGGGGAGTGTGAGTAGGTTAGGGGGGGGGGAGTGTGGTAGGTTAGGGAGTGGGAGGTGGTAGGGTTAGGGGGTGGGGAGTGTGAGTAGGTTGGGAGGTGGGGTTTTGAGTAGGTTAGGGAGGTGGGGAGTGGAGTAGGCTTGGGGGTGGGCAGTTGAGTGGTTAGGGGGGTGGGGGGGGTTGAGTAGGTTAGGGGGGGGGAGTGTGAGTAGGTTAGGGAGGGGGGGGGTGTGAGTAGCTTAGGGGGGTGGGAGGTGAGTAGGCTTGGGGGGGGGATTGAGTAGGGTTAGGGGGGGGGGGAGGGGGTGGGGGGGGTTAGGGCTTAGGGGGGGGGGAGTGGAAAAAGCTTAGGGAGGTGGGGGTGTGAGTAGGCTTAGGGAGGGGGGAGTGTGAGTGGCTTAGGGGGGGGTGGGGGAGTGTGAGTAGTTAGGGAGGGGGCAGTGTGGTGGGTTAGGGAGGTGGGGTGTGATAGGCTTAGGGGGTGGGCGTGTGGTAGGCTTAGGGAGGGGGGTGTGAGTGGCTT